TGTCTGTGGTCTGTGGTTCTCTGGTGTTTAAAACACGCTTTTGTATTCAGCACAATGTTACGGTCTTGCAAACAACCCACAACAGTGTGAAGAGGTGTAATGAAACTTTACTGAGGTACACACTCATCAGTCATGACATGGCCATCAGTATCAATGAGAACGAGTGGAAAGGGTGTCCAGTTTCAAGTTCCTAGGTATGTGCATAGACACAGACCTCCAGTAGAGCTCAAACTGTCAAAGTTCTTGCTCATTTTGACCCAGCATTTTTAGTTTCTTTTGTTTTGATGTTATTCTATATGTTATGTTATTCTATATATTCTATATGATTTATGTTCTGATTCTGTAGTTGTGCTGTTTTGATTATTATTAGTGTCTGTCTCAGTTTATTCTGGTTTAGAGTTAAGTTCTTAGGTTATGTTCTTGTGCCCTCATGTTTAGCGTAGGTTTAGTTCATTGTCAAGTCTCTGTCTTTATAATTATCTAATTTCCTATTTTATTTTGATAGTCCCAGTCCTATGTGCAGTGAGTCTGCTTCCCCTTGTTTTGTTAGGTATAATTTCTCCCAGATTTTTTTCCCTCCTGTCTCCTAGTTCCTGATTACTCCACTGTGTATTTAAGCCCCGTGTTTCTCTCTGGCAGTGTTGTGTTGTACCCTCTATATGTTGTGTGGTTTCCCTCTGTACTTCTTGTAGGCTTCCAGTTCTATTTCACAGTTTACTTCTGTAGAATTCCAGTGTCCTAGTCTTTAGATTTCAGTTCCTATTTCTAGTTTCTTTGCTTTTCTGTTCTAAGAGTTTTTTTGTCCAGCAATAAAAGGTGTGCTCTAAGTTTAGCCTGCCATCTCCGAAACTCCTGCATATTGGGTCCTTCATCTTGCTTGCAGCGCAGCGGAAACATGACACATGGCCTTGATGGTTTTGAAGGTGGCTCAACAGCGTCTCCATTTTCAGAGAAACCCCAGGCTGCTGAGGTCCTGGATAAACTGACTCAATGACAGCTTTTACAACAGGACAATAGCCCTAATCACTGCAAACTGCTTATTTGATTGGCTACCTCCTTGGACTTTTTAAAGGGGGACAATAACAATAACAACACCAATAATAATAACAATGTTCAATAAACATACAAACATAAACATTTCTTTGCTCATACCTTTCTTGCACTTTAAAATACACTTTAAGTTAAGTTACTGTAGTCCCCATGCGGGACACTTTCCAATTTTGTTATACTATTGTACTGATTGAGCAATGGCAATAAAGAGTAATCTTATCTTATATTAAAAATAATAGTATTCTGAACATTTATCATTATTAATATAAAATGATTAACTGATCAACTGTCGGCGGCAGCCTCTGGTCTTATAAAACATGTGCAGAGCTTTCATTTTGTCTCCGGCTTTACAAATCTGACAGTAAGCTACAGTAACCTTATTCCACTCACATGTCTGTAAGGCAGTTTGCTGGTGCAGATGATTCATTAGGGCTCCAGCACTGAGAGTACGAAGGCCTTATTGTATCTGCTCCGTTTCTTCTTCTTATTATTATTATTATTATTATTATTATTGTTCATATTGGGAACAGGAAATGTCATGTTTTAGATTTTGGGGTACAGTATAGTGATGGGTGACATCTTCAGCCTCAAATTTCTCCAGGAAAGCCTTAAGGAGTTGGTCTTGGGTTACAGTGAAAAGTGTGAGTTTTCGTGAAAGGGTGTGACCCCAGCAGCATGGCGAACATTGATGTCTCACCATGAAGAAACAAATTAGCATTACTCAAAGAAATCCGGTTTGATCAGTACCAGACTGTACAGGCGTGATGTCAGACCTCCCCTGAACAGATTGATATGCCCATTGTCAGTAGTACACTCTGATATACAGATTTTCATAGGTTCATCAGATCAACCTCAAAAGCAGTGAATATTAACATCAGTGTTTCTGTGAGAAAATTGTGAGTTTAAACTGAATGGCGCACCCTGATGGCATGGCGGTTCACCATGAAAGACAAAGTGGTTTTTGAGGGGCTTGAAAAGTTTAAAAACTCTTGAAATTTGGCCCACACCTCTAATGTCATGAACACTTTCTTGTTATGTGATAATTTTTATGGAAAGTTGCAAAATGGCTCCACAGCACCCCCTACAACATTTCAAAACATCAGCCCCTGCTCTGTTTTTCATATATGACTCCAAAACCTGGTAAGCTTATGTAAGATAACAAGTCTCTTGGAGCAATATCCCAAATCCAACAATCAGTCTGCCATTTTCAACTTAATGTGTTATTTTGGCGACATTTTCCTCTCATTTCAGGTCTCGCACTTTGACGAACTCCTCCTTGGGATTTCATCTGATTGACTCGATCTCCAGGGCATGGAATCTTAAGACCTTTGTGATGTTAAATTGGGAAGCTTTTTACGTTCAGGGAAATGAGGTAATCATGGCGGCACGTGGAGTTTCAACTACTCGCCAAAAAGCAGTAATCTGCTGTCATTCAAAAACACAATGTCAAATCTCTCCCAAACGTTGCAGGCAAGAGTCAAGCTCGGAAATATTATAAGCGATTTGTCAGTAATAGTTAGAGCGCCATTTAGTGGGATGACTATAATCATCATTGAATGAGATGAAATTTTAGCTCGTGGTTCTACGCATGAATTCCATCAATGTGATATTAGTTCGGGTATAGGTGTTGGGCATGGCGAGGGGTGCGAGGGCCCTCATAACGCTGCTTGCAGCTTTAATTAGGGCCCGAGCACTGAGAGTGCAAAGTTCCTATTGTATCTGCTCTGTTTCTTATTATTATTATTCAGGGGAAAAATGTCTTTTTGAGGGCTGTAACGTGCTTAAAAGCTCATGCCATTTTGCATACATGCCTGTTCTGGTGAAATCATATATTTAAATGGTTTTACGTATGAGCATTGGAAAATAGCTCTGGAACGCCACCTATGCCTTGTTAAATAAAGCCCTATGAACACATAGTTTCAGCTACATGTATGAAGTCTAGCACACATATGTATCATGTCAAGATGAACAAAAAAGTCAGTGGGACCAAACCCAACAGGAAGTCAATGTGACATTTTGTCTCTAATTTTGCCATTTCCACTCCTCGTACTTTTGCGAACTGCTCCTTGGGGTTTGGTGTTTTTATCTTCATATTTTGTTAGTGTCTACTACACAGCTGGACCGTATTAAATTGCGGGAATTTTGAGTTCTTGGGATGTGATGTGGCCGTAGTGTGGCCTAACCCACCATGACAGATGAAGTGGCTTTTGAGGTGCCACAAAATGGCGCCACAGAGCCCCCTACAATATTTTAAAACATCAGCCCCTGCTCTGTGTTTCATCTATGAGCCAGAAACCTGCTAAGCTTATGGAAAATACAAAGATGTACAAAAAAGTCTCTTGGAGCAATATCCCAAATCCAACAGGAAGTCAGCCATTTTAAAATTAAAGTGTAATTTTGGCGACATTTTCCCCTCATTTCAAGCCTCATACTTTGACATACTCCTCCTCAGGATTTCATCAGATCGACATGATCTCTGGTGCATGGAATCTAAAGACCTTTGTGATGTTAAATTGTGAAGAGTTTTGTTTTTGGTGAAACAGGGTTGTCATTTCGTCACGTGGAGTTTCAATCACTCGCCAAGAAGCAGTAAACTGCTGTAACTCAAAGACACATTGACCAATCTCTCCCAAACTACACAGGTATGATGAGAATCAAACTCTGAAAAGTTTGGTATGCAATTTGTCAGCAATAGTAAGAGCACCACCTGGTGGGAAGAGGAGATACTATGTATATTATAGTCATCATTGAACAAGATGAAGTTTTAGCTGCTGATTGTACACATGAAATCGATGAGTGTGATATCAAATAGGATCTGCTGGGCATAGGTGTTGGGCGTGGCTTGACGCTCAGGGGTGTGAGGGCCTTCTTAATGCTGTTTGCAGCTTTAATTGGTAATTGTGTTTTATGACTTGGAACTTTTTGCAACCCACCAGCTAGTCAGCACCAGACGAAGAAGCCACGCCATTTGACCCAGTTAAATGACATGACAGTGTTTTGTGTTTAGTTTAGGTCATTCTTAGGTTTTTGGTTTATGTCCAGCACATTCCTGTTTGTTTCTCTTTTCATATTAATAAAGCTCACTCACTTCAGAAGCTGCCTGCTCTTCGGGTCTTTTAATAATTTCCACACAGCTTGCCCTGCTAGCCCAAGGATGTCGAGAAGTGGGGTTGTCTCAAACAGAAAACAAAAAAAAAGAAACTGCCAATAAAATAGCCCAAAGTTTACTCTGTAAATGAATGAATGAATGATTTTCAGCAGGTAACATCTAAATGTTTGCAGCAGATGGATGATTTGGTCCTGCACATGGTTGTCTCTGTTATGTACAAAAAAGCTCAAGTGAAACGTCACTGCAGATGCTGCCTTCATGATCTTTGAAATGTGTTAGTGACCTAACACATCACTGTGGTATGTGTTAGGTCCACCCATACCACAGTGACCTGAATGGTGTGGAATGTTTTAGTGTAAGGATAAAAAGAGCTTCCTGTAACAACAGAATTTACTAGTAGATTTTCAGCACAAGACTAAATCTGTCTTAATATGACCCTTTAAGTGATTTAATTTAAAAAAAAAATCATAAAGTAGTAACTTTAGGTAAAGTTTATTTCTAAAGCACCTTTATAGACAGAGATCACAAAGTTTTTCACAATAAAATACCAGAGCGGAAAAAAACCCCAGCTGGTCTGCAACTGGTGAGTCACCCACGTCATCGCATCAAAGAATGATAGAGAGAAGAAAAATAAAGCTCTTACTGAGCTCCTGCTGTCACTGCAGAACTTTCCCCTCTAATGGAATAAATGAAATCTCTGAACACTTCTCTGTAAGCTTTTATTTTGAAGGTTGAAATCGAAAGTAAAACTTGTCGTCACACCTGGGAAGTTAAAGCCGTTTGTTAGTTTGTATCGAGTGGAGCTGAGTTGGAACTAGGTTATAGTCTCTGTCACAGGAGGATGAAAAGCTTCGTGCCCTTCCTGCTGCTCGTGCACGGTAAGAACTTTGAACCTGTCTATTTTTTGAGCCGTCAGACACACGGTCCCGAACCGTAGTAAGGAAACCTCTGGCAGTTGCTTGAAATTTCCGTAACTGACTCGTAGCCGGGTGTTGTGCCAAAAAGTGATTGTCTGCCAAAAAGTGATTTCCAATGTTTCTGTGTATTTTTTCTGTGTAATATCTTTACGTATGTTCGTAAATAGACTTCGGTGAACAGGGTTTACAAAGGGGTTATATAGAGAATTAAAAAAAATATCCGTTTTTCAAGTATCTTTACAACTCTGTGTTATTGTACTTACATTATAACCAATCCGGTCCTTTATCCCCACTTAAAATATTTTTACAGAACTATTGTAATATTTGCTGCCATTTCTTCTCCTCTTGGCCAACTTACTCTTACAAAAGACATTTTTAATGTTAATGAGATTTTTTTTAACTGCATAAATAAAGGTTATATAAAAGTCACTGCCAAAAACTGATTGCGGCTTCTACCTTGTTACACGAATGTTGTTTGTGGCTCAAGATGACTTTATGTCATCCATAAGCGATGCATTTGACATATGTTTCATATATTATAGCCCAACAAGTTACTTATAGCAGTTTAAATACAAGCAATCAGTTTTTGGCAAATACCGGAAATCAGTTTTTGGCAGACAATCACTTTTTGGCACAACACCGGCAACAGGTTACGGAAGCGTAGAACTGCCACCTAGGCAAAAGAAAAATACAAGTGTATCACGTTATAACGTGAAAAGTTTATTGTTCTAACAAGATACTTTTCCTGTTTGTACAATATACTATCATGTTTGTACAATATACTATCATGTTTGTACAATATACCTTTCACGTTTGAACAACATAATATCACGTTATTACAATATAAATATTATATTGTACGAACGTGATAATTATGTATATTCTTCTATTACTCCTCTTTCAAACTGTCTTCTCTGCTCTTAGGTCAGTTCATCTCAGTAAGTCACATGGTAGGGTGGGGCAAGGTCTCACAGTGGGTTCACCTGAAACCTTAGCTGATTGTGACCTACACCCATTACTGCACCTTGGGTTGTGTGATTAGGTAGAGGATCAACAGGGGGTTCGTGACCCTCTTGGGGACACTCCCATAGGGTTTAGAATCTGGGACTCACTACCATTTGTTCTTAGAACTGAAGAAACTTCTCGGATGAAACGTTTCAAGAAACTTAAAGGAGTCAGTAAATCATGTTTGTTTATACATAATTTGTATTCATATGTATCATGTTGATAACAGCAATGCTGATATTTGTAAATAAATAATTATAAATAAATAAATAAATAAATAATTATAAGGCACATTAAGCAAAGCAAAACAAAAAAGTCAGATAAGCCAATCTTTACAGAATTCATTCTTCTTGCTTCCTCCACTTCCGTACCATTGATTCATTAATGCTGAATTCTATCTCAGCTGCTCTATTCCCATGTTGTTGCAGTATATTAATGACTAACCTCAGATTGTGGATGGATTATCTCAGTTGTTCTCCTGCCTGAAGTTTGATCCTTTTTCAGCATACTGTTAACTTTTATCGAGTGGAAAAATATTAGCGTTCATCCTCCAGCGTCACTGTGCTAATGTTTTGCTAACATAGCTGTGTGGCTAGTTATCACATAGCACATCATTATATATTACCTAGTCCAACTTCACTGCTGTTTAGTTTTCTGTCTTGGAATGTTGGAAGTGATAACAGATCTGTACGTTTAAATTTTCTCAGAAATCTCTCAGTCAGAACATGGTGTGTTATGTTTAGGTTGAAACTAGCGAGCTAACTTCCCGATAATGCCTTTAAACTTAATAAATTCTGTTTTCATGGATGCCTGGATGTTAAACTTAATTGTTACACCTGGTAAAGCAGCAACACTGATCATTTTATTAAAGATGAAAGAATTTAGACAGTTTTTAACTCTCAGTGATGCTGCAGTGATCGTTTGACTTTGGGACCTGAAGAGGAGAGAGTTTAGGACCCAGATTACTTCATGAGGCTCTTGACTACATTAGCCGTAATGCTCCTACAAACCATCAAGCGGTGCGGCTTTATAGGTTTCTAAAGTCATACGAAAACAGATTCTGACAGATTTTTGAGCGGAACCGCAAGTTTGGTAGTACTGGATCTTCTGACATAAGTCTGTGAGCAGAGAACAGAACCTGTTCTGCTTTGTTGGAGGGTTCCAGCTGCTGCTGGAATCAGCATCTTCCTGCTCAAACATGAAGGCCTTCCATTAAAACTTGTCTGCATGGAGCAGATGTTTCTTTGGCTCCTATTTATACCTTTGAGCGCTGATGGAGGCTCCTGATGAGCTTCAATATTTTTTCAAAGGTTTCTAGTGTTACACACTGTGGTCATTACTGGTACTAATTTAAAACCTCTTGTTAGAACTCATCCCGACATGTGACTCACCCTGTGGACAGACTGAATGACGGGACTCTGTTTCTCTCCTCAGTTTCCCATCATGCCTCAGGGGTGGAGGTCTATCAGGTGTATGAGGGGGAGGAGTCTGTCCTGCTGCCCTGTCAGGTACCTGTCAATGTTTCCAGTAGCTCCACAGCAGTGGTCTGGGACCGTGATGAGTTCAAGATCCCAACAGTCCACATGCGTGTGCAGAGCGGAGATGATATTCTGAATGATCAGAACCATCGTTACACCAACCGAACATCGATGAAAGCCGACGCCCTGCAGACTGGAGACCTCAGCCTCACCCTGAGGAACCCTACAGTCTCTGATGGTGGAACCTACACCTGCATCGTTCGCAAATATGGACAAGATCAGAGCAAGACCCATGTGCAACTGAAGGTCAAAGGTCAGTGTGTGAAATCAGTCAGTACTCAGTATGATGCCTTTAAAATATTGTCTGTCTGAGATGTTGTTGCTCTGAGCTCACAAATCATGACTGACTAATAATACACATTCCAAAACACTGACTAAAGGTTCCTGGGCACTTCATTAGTTACACCTGTAAGCTGCTCATTGATCTAAATATCTAATCAGCCAATGTCATGACACCAACTTACTGCACTTAAAACAACCTGCAGAAGTTCAAACTAACCAACATAATGGAGAAGAAACAATGAATTCAGTGTCTTTAAATGTGGCAATGATTGCTGGTTTGTGTATTTCACAAACTGGTGATTTGCAGGGATTTGCCCTCCAGTCTTTTTGCAGAGGTCTGAAACACAGAAACACAGCACACCACACTTATCCACACCAATCAGGTTAGACCAGAGCACACACTCACTGGACAACAGAAGGTTGACACATGTTTACTGGTTTCTGCTGCAACATTCAGATGGTAGAGTCAGAGTTTGGTGAAAACCTCATGAAAGCATGGATCCATACTGACTTGTACCAAAGGCTCAGCTTGCTGGTGGTGTGATGGTGTAGTGGAGATTTTCCTGAGACACCTTTGGCCTCTTAAATACCAACTGAGCATTGTTTAAACCCCACAGCCATGAGTACTGTTGCTGACTGTGTCCATCCCATAATGACCTCAGTGTACCGTCCTCTGATGCCTCCTGCAGGATAACAAATGAGTAACAATGAGTTTACTGCACTCAGAGGGCTTACAGAGTCTCAGATCTCAGTCCAACAGAGCATCTATTCTATGTGCTGGAACAAAAGAGTCACATGATAAATGTGCAGCATGTTTGTGATGATGTCACATCTGAGCCATTAACAAGCAAAGGAACAGGATACCAGCAAGGTGTACCTAATAAAGTGTCCAGTAAGGCTCTGTGACATTGGCTCTGTAATGGTGTGAAAACAAAACAGAGATGTCCGAGTGTCTCCAGCAGGGGGAGCAATCTGACTTCAACACATATACACTCAGTGCCACTTTATTAGGCACACCTGTTCAGCTGTTCTTTAACACATACTGTACCTAATAAAGTATCTGGTTAGTAAGAACTTATCATCTTTTTACTTATAGTTTGCTGATATCTTGCTGGTTTAGCAGGAATGGCACATCTCTGAGCTGTAGATTGTACAGTCCGCCAGCCCACACTTTTGTCATCTGCTGTGAATTCATCATGTTTCATTTTCAGGTTTCTTCTGTTCACCACAGAGCGTCCTCCGACTTGGCTCTGGGCTCTCTTTGTTGTCCTGGCTATCTTGGCTCTCCTGGCTGTCATTGGGATCGTCATGTGTTATAGATATAAATGGATCAAACGCCCAGCAGGTATGGTAGTTTGGTTTGATGTTGGTTTTTTAAAGCAGCAATAAAAAGCAAACAAATAAACCCCAAACAAAACAAAACTCACTTCTGCAGGGATCTAATGGAGAGTTCCCAATACTGATCAAAATAATGATGATTATAATTTTGATCGAGGTTGTGTGGTTCATACATTGTATACCTTGTACGATAAAGCAGAACTGGAAAGGCAGTAATAAATGAATGATTATTTCCTCATCAGGGCTTTGTGGGCACTCATTTCCCTGCAGAGGAAGGAACCCTGACATCCAGATGTGTGTCATCTGTCAGGAGAAGCCAGCTAATGTGAACATGGCTAAATGATACATTGTTCATAGTTCTACGTCAGTCTAAGATGTGCACAGTTGTGGCTTGATGCTAATTTGAAATGCTTGAGATTCTAGATGATAATAAAGCTAGATGATAATAGATGATGATGATGATAATAGATGAAAATCTAGAAGAATAACTGTATCATAGTGCAGATACAGTTATTCTTCTTTTTCTGTCCTCCATGACTTCAGCACTGAAACAATCACACACCTGCTCTTTGAGGTCCTGGTAGACTGATGTGTTGGTTTGAGTGCACATGTCATGATCTGCTCTGTTGTCCTCACAGACAGCCAGGTATTGATGGTGGAGATGTCGGAGGGAGACCAGAAGTCTGTCCTGCTGCCCTTTAAGACCACAGAGGATCTTCCCCAGGACGCCACAGTGGAGTGGAGACTCACTGACCCCAAACACATGCAGGTTCACGTGTATGAAAGTGGAAAAAATCAGCCGGACAAACAGGACGAAGTGTACCAAGGCCGCACGGAGATGAATGAAGAGCCACTGAGAGATAAAGACCTCAGTCTGAAACTAAAGGAACCCCGCATTACTGACACCGGAGTCTACACCTGCACCGTCAGCAGCAAGGATGGAAGCCTCCTACTTCAGAAAGTGGTGTCTCTAACTGTCAGAGGTGAGTGGAACAGCTTTGATTGTTATCTGGATCCTCCATAAATTTGAACAAAATCAAACTGCTGCTGACACATTTTCATTTGAATGAATAAATGCAGACATTTTGATTAAACTTGTGAACTGAGGGAGCTGTGTGAATCCGATTAAGGCCTGCACAGACCTCTGAATGAAAAAAAAAAACATGGGATAACATCTGCCATTTAATTCCATCATTCATCAATCTATCAGCTCATTAACTCATTAATTTCCACACTGCTTCTTTCTTCTACAGAACTTAACATCTGGCTATACTATGTCAGATCTCCATGGCAACATATTCATAACAAGAATTTTTGTCAATAAATTTACCACTGCCAATATAACAACACAAAAATAAGGGACCATCACACCACATGTGACACACACAGAAGCAGAGTCCAAACAAAAGTTTGATCCATGCTGTGTAGCAGAGGCTGTGATTCCTGCTGACTCACTGCTTTGTTAAAAACACAAATTCCCCAGCATCATGCTGAAGGGTAGACGCTGTAAGTTTCTGCAGGTGTGACAGAATAAATCCAGAAGACTAAAGAAAGCAGCAGATAGCAGAGCAAAGCAGCGCTTTGTGCAGCCTCACACATCAACACACAAGCAGTCGAGCTCAAAGTCAGAGAAACACTGAAAACAGGAGCTGCTGGTTACACAGCAGAGGACATGATGGAGGATCACACTCACTGATGTCTGTCTGTCTCATGTTCTACTGTGT